TTATATCTCAAAAGAGATTGCATTAAGACACTAATCTTGTCAACCTCATCAGTATAACCTCATCACAGTGATAGAATTTATAACACATGAGGAGATCACATACAATCACATCATAGTGGTAGAGTTTACAACACATAAGGAAATCACATCAGAGAACACAATCATACAATACTGGGAATCATGACCTAGCCAAGGTGCTACACACATTTTTTGGGGGACACAATTCAATCCATGACACCCACTGTTTGATCACAATTTTCTATTCTTCCAGCCTTTTCTCGGTCTCACTCTCACCTATACTTGCTCTCAATTTTTTCTTAGTTTATTGGCCACTGGCTGGCTGTTCCTTCCCAATTAACCTGGGCCAATGGTAGATCATCCACACGGTTCTCTTCCCAGCACCCTTAATTCCCTTGCACTCTACTCCTTCTGATGGTTAAAGGCTTCAGCTTTGAAGTCAGAAAGACCAGCGTTCCAGTCTCTGCTCCACTACTTATTTTTGTGTTTTAGATAATTTTAAAAAATATTTTATCGTGTTTTGGGTGAAAGTCTACAGAGCAAATTAGTTTCTCATTCAACAAATTGTACAGTGTTCCATGACACTGCTTGCAATCCCCACACTGTGTCAGTACTCTCCCCATTTCCGTCTTGGGCTCCCTGTTTCCTTTTGTCTGGTTTTCCTACCCCCTCTTGCCTTCTCATCTTTACTTTGGACCAATGTTGCCCTTCTGGTCTTGTATTCCACTACTTCTTAGCTGTGAAACCATTCATTCAAGAAATATTTAGTAAGCACCTACTATGTGCCAACTGCTATATTAAGTGCAGGGGACACACTGGTGAGAAAGACAGATACCCTCCCTGACTTTCAGAGTCTAGTAGCCAAGACAGACAATATAACAAGCGCTAACAAGGAGCCCTGGTGGCACAGTGGTTAAGCGCCTGGCTGCTAACCGAAAGGTCGGCAGTTCGAACCCACCAGCCACTCCACGGGAGAAAGACGTAGCAGTCTGCTCTGTAAAGATTACAGCCTTGGAAACCCTATGGGGCCATTCTACTCTGTCCTATAGGGTCACTATTAATCAAAATCGACTTCGACGGCTAATAACAAGCACGAACAATAATCACAAATGCTATGATGGGGCAACGCAGGTTGCTCTAGGAACATACGACAGGTGCACCCAATCTTGTCAGGATGGGTAGGGTAAAGCTTTCCAGAGGCAGTGGCAAATAAACTGAGATCTGTCGCTGAGCTTCTGCTTTAGCCTCCTTCGATTTGTCCCTCTCCAGTCCAATCTCACCACTCAACCTCCACACTTTTCACTCTCAGAGAACCACCTTGCATATATTTTATCGTGAAAACAAGTGAAGCCATCAGATTCACTCTTCCTCAGTTTATCATAAGGGTTCCCATCCCCCCAACCCCTGAATAAAAACTTATGGATTTCCATTTTTACTTCCTTTCTTCCAGCTTCTGGGATGCAGGTTCTCCTTTCTGTTAAGGGCAACCCTTTCATTTGTGCCTGACTCCCATTCCTTCCTTTCTCTCCCAGAACCCGCTCTTATCAGTCACCCCCTTACTCCCCATCCTCTCTCTGTGATATCTTACCCCCTCTACCCATTAACGTGCTTATTAAGTCTGGCCCAGCCTAAAAGTCCCGCCTCTGAGTCTATGTTCTCCTCAAGCTTTTGTCCAACTGCTATCTTCCTTTTCTCATTTAAACTTTTCGAAAGAGTAGTTTATTCTTCTTTTCTAGCTTCATGATGATATCTGAACCATCAAATCTGATGGGACATTTGACCATTCTTCTCTTACCAGACTCTGCTGCAGTAACTGTGGATCATATCCTTCTTGAAACTCTCTAAAACCTTGGCTTCTGCGACATCACTCTCTTCTGGGTTCTCCTGATATTTCTCTTTCTTTCTTTCCTTGTCTCCTTTGTGGGCTCTTCTTCTTAAGCCTGCCTCCTAAAAGTTGGGGTTCTCCAGGGCTGCATCCTTTTCTCACTCCTCTTCTCACAAGGTAACTTCTCCCTGGGAGACTCATCCACTCTCATGGTTTCAACTCCTACTCACACACAGATGATTTTCAAAGCTCTGTCTCTAATCCAAAGGAGCCCTGGTGGCACAATGGTTAAGCACCTGGCTGCTAACCAAAAGATGGGTGGTTCAAACCCACCACTGGCTCCAGGGGAGACAAGACCTGGCAGTCTGCTTCCATAAAGATTACAGCCTAGGAAACCCTATGGGGCAGTTCTACTCTGTCGTATAGGGTCGTTGTGAGTCAGAATTGACTTGACAGCACAACAACAACAATCTCTAATCCAGACCCCTCCCGAGCATCACAGTCATATATCCATGTACCCATAAGACATCTCCATGCATAGTCCACTTCAAACTTACTAGTCCAAAACTGAATTGTAGCTTCCCTCTTAACTAGCTCTTCCTCTTCTAGTGTGCTTCTCAGTTGGCAGTACACCACCATGACCCAGACACACAAACTAGAAATCGGAATGCCACCCTTGCCTCCTCCTCCTCCCTCATCTTCCACCTTCAATCAATCACCCAGCCCTGTAAAGCCTGCCTCCTAAGCATGCTTCAAATCCGTTCCCCACTCATCATCACCTTTTGATCATGAAGCAATATAGTGATGCTGTTAAAAGCTTGGGCTCTGGAATCAGAATGTCTGGGTTCCAATTCTGAAGTCAGGCAGACCTGGGCTCAAATTCTGTCTCTACCACATATTAGCTGTGTGATCTTGAGCAAGTTATTTAATTGCTTTTTAATCCCAATTTCTTTTTTTTATAAAATGGGAATGATAATAGTAGTTCTTCATAAGATTATTGTGAGGATGAGATAATACACAAAAAGCATTTGAAAACTGTGCTTACAAGATTAGAATACCAAAAACAAAAACAAACAAAAAAAAAAACACCTCAAACCCGTTGCTGTCGAGTCAATTCTGACTCACAGCAACCCTACAGGACAGAGCAGACCTGCCCCACAGGGTTTCCAAGGAGCAGCTGGTGGATTCAAACTGCCAACCATTTGGTTAGCAGCTGTAGCTCATAACTACTGTGCCATCAGGGCTCCACAAGACTAGAACAGGAATAACCGTTGCCATCAAGTTGATTCTGACTCATAGCGATCCTATAGGACAGAGCAGAACTGCCCCATAGGATTTCTAAGGAGCTGCTAGTGCATTCAGACTGTTGACCTTCTGGTTAGCGGCCAGGCTCTTAACCACTGCACCACCAGGGCTCCAGAAGGAATAGGCACTATATAAATGTTAGCTCTTACTTTCATCATCATCATCATCATTACTGCTATTACTATACTAATTTTGGCTCTCACCATCTTTTGCCTAGATTATTAAAATAGTCTTTGAAATGGTCTCTCTCAAGTTTTGTCCCCTTGAAATCCATCCTCCTCACAGCCAACAACCCATTGCTGTTGAGTCAATTCCAACTCATAGTGACCCTACAGGACAGAGTAGAACTGTCCCATAGGGTTTCCTAGGCTGTAATCTTTATGGGAGCAGACTGCCACATCTTTTTCCCACAGAGTGGCTAGTAGGTTCAAACCGCTGACTTTTCAGTTAGCAGCCGAGTGCTTAAAACACTGCACCACTAGGGATCCTTCACAGCCAATGGAGTGATAATTTGAATTCAATCTGTTTTACATCCTTGCCTAAAACTCAACAGCTGCCCAGTGCCTATAGGATAAAGCTCAAGCTCTTTCACATGACAATCAAAGCTCTCCACGATCAGGCCCCTGCATAACTGCCCAGTTTCATCCTTGCCACTTCCTAACTGATATTTTCTGCTCCATCAGTACCTAGGTGCTTGCATTTCCTGGCACCAAACATACTTTTTCATCCTCTTGTACCTTTGCTATGCTGTTCTTTTTGACTTGAATGCTTTCACTGCTCTCTAGTCTGGCAAATGCCTCCTCATTCTGTAAGACTTCTCATTCTCTAAGACTTCCTCCTCTTGGAAGCTGGGCACTCTTCCTAGTTATTCCCATGTTACACTGTGCATCTATCTCTTACTACACATCTACGTTTTATGATTATCTATTCGTGTTTCTGCCTAATACTGTTAGCCCCTAAAAGGCCGGGCCTATGAGTTATTCACACATAGGGGATACTTAACACATAACACCTCATTACCAACTAATCCACCAACCTATATCCATCTTCTCTGCCTAATGTCCTCTTACAGGGGAAGAAGTGGGCCTGTCCCTCTCCAAGGCCAATCTCTCCATGTGCACTCTGGATCCCATCTACTCTGGGTATTGCTCCTTCAGATAACCCCTCCTTCTCTACTGGAACATTCCCATTAGTTTTCAAACACACTCTAGTACCTCCCATTAACAAAAACAATACATAACACAACAAGACACAACCCTTCCTGGACCCCACAAATGCCCTCCAATAAGTGCCCTGTTACTTGGGCACTCACCATTGTAACTTCTAATAATATTCTCAATGCTGAGCTATGCCTGGACTATTTTATTGTCCTGAATAATATATACATTCTATCAGTCTCCTGTCATTCATAATCCCAAAGAAATGTTAGTATGGAAAAATAGAAAGGAGGAAGGGCACAAGAGCAAATCAAGAGAGGTAAGAGCCTTTAGGGTCATGGTCCCCAACAATCTGGCTTTGATACAGTGCATTCCCCAGCAGGACACACTACACGGTACAGACTGGTAATAGTAAGCCAAAAAATGCCGCCGCAATCCTTCTCTGATAAACTACAATGGCAGGACAGACATAAATGGCAGTGGAAATACAACAGTCCCGGTACCTGCTGCCCACACGTGCACATGACACAGGAAGCCGCTTACTAGCTCACCTTCTTCCCAGTGAGGACAGCCACTCCACCATTCTCAATGTGAGGCAGGTCCTGAGCAGACACATAGAAAGAAGGTGGCTGGAAGTATATGCTGTACAGAGAAGAGGGGGAAAATGTTATATGAACCTGGAACTCCCATCAGCTTCCACCACAGCTCAGTAAAATTGTTTCCATCATGAAAATAATTTTAGGAACATTTTCCAAAGTTTAAGTCTCCAAGGCCACTGAATCTCACTTATACAGAGGTATTCTAGATCAATGGTTCTCAACTGGGGGCAATTTTGGCCCCAGGAGACATTTGGCAGTATCTGGAGACATTTTTCATTGTCACAAGGGAGAGGGGTACTACTGGCGCCCAGTGGGTAGAGGCCAGGAATGCTGCTAATCATCCTATCATGCACAGAACAACCCCCACAACAAAGAATTATCCAGCCTCTCAACAGTACTGAGGTTGAGAAACCCTGCTCTAGATTTAGGTTCATTTCAAAGTAAGAACAAGAGGCGCAACCAAGAAGCTGGCATTCACCTACCTACTGAACAAGTTGTCCAGAATTGTGCTGGTCAATAGAAAACCAGGTCTACCTCCTGAGATGATTTTGTCTCAAACAGTAGGCATTAACTATGAATGTTAATTAAGGGTGGGCTAACTTAATTGAAGGGTGTATCCTGCTTAAAAATGGAATGTAAGAGTAGGCGTGACAGAGGCAGGTAAATCTGTAAAATTTAGTCCTATATCAAAGGGACCACGAACGGGAAAAAGATTGGAACCCAAAGAACATGGTATTAGGATCAAGACATCTAAGGAGTCCTTCAAAAAGAAAAGGCTTCAAGTCTCTTCTGCAACCTTTTAATAAAGAAGCTCTCCCTTACAGTGTTTCCACTCTACCTCCATAATTTTGAATGCCTGCTAGGGTGCCGAAGAAAGTGCCACTGAACAATTTCTTTTCTTGTGATCTTACAGGGTCATGCCTATGCAAGTATAAAGGTGTGACAAAACAGGCCAGGGTGATTTTCACTAGAGAAGTCTAATACAAAGGTCCTGGAAATGGGAGCACGAGTACTCCAGAGGGCAGCATTATACCTTCAATTGTTGGTAGATCTGGTAACCGAATCCAGGACAATTGCCCATATGGACTGTTGCCCCTAGCTGTACCAAGTGTGCGCCACAGCTGACTGCAGTGTGCAGGTAAGTCATCCCTCCCATTCACTGCACACTGTCATAACCCACTCCCTGTGCTTGGTTTAAGTAGCCAGTCTGGCCCATTTTATAGAAGTGCACACACCTTCTCTCTTTTCCATTCCACTGTCTGAATCGCAATGTCTTTGTGACATTTGGATCGTCTGAAAACCACAGTTCTTTTGACAGAGGAGGCCGCATGTATGGCAGCTCAGGATCTTCTGATACAATCAGTACCTTTAACACAAAAATACCGACACTTATCAGAGCCTAGTCATTCAAGAGAAGTGTCAAAGTGTCCACACTGGCTAACTGCTTTCAGACTCTACCCTCTGTGCCAAACCCAATCATGTGCACCTTACCCTGGCCCCAGGATCCCGAGCCCGGATGGATCTGGCTGCAGCAAAAGCAGCAGTGCCTCCTCCGATTAGCAGGAAAGGAACATGACTTGGTACCCTGACCTGAGGAACTGGCTCTCCTTCTGAAGCTGGAAGCAACAGACCAGACAGGGTGAATCTTCTTAAAGTCTCAGATGACTCCCTGTCACTAGTATTAAAAGAAAATCACCCTGCACTTGTCTCAATCCTTTATATAAAGCTAGCTACAATAACCTTAACAAATGTCACAGCATCCAGATGGGAGAGGAAAAGCAACTACCCCTTTCACCTCACAAGTGAGAAATACCAAAAAATAGGCAAATGATTTGGCCAGTGTCATTCATTCATTAAATCTGTGCTGGAACTGAAAGCTAGCTTAAATGTTTAGTTATTTCTAGAAAGTACAGGTTACCACTTCTGCCCTTCCCATTAATTTCCTAATGACCAACAGGAAAATATCAAGTTCAGTTTCACCTTTTGTTAGCAATAAAAGGGGGAAACCCAGGAGGTCAATTGGGGATTATTACATGATGTTCAAGAATAAGGAGGTGTTATTGAAGAAAGCAATGCAAATCGCCCACCCAGAGTCTGTTTGGCTTATTAAAGCATTCATTCCTCTTTGGAAAAAAAAAAAACAAGCAAATCATTAGGCATGAGTGACAGCTGAGGCTATATGCTTTAGGAAAACAAAATATATCTTTAACAACTTGAAATTCCAAAGACTCAAAACAGAAAAAAAAACAGACCCAAAGAATTTCCTCCTTGAAAAAACAGCTTTCATCTCTTCCAATAGTTGTAATCACCAAGCTTCCCTTTGTTAAAGAGCTTGTCTTTTGAGTCTAACATAAAGAAAACCAAAAATCATAGTCTTCACAAATTATATTCTTAAACCCAAATTCCAGCCAAAAGCTTTAACAAATATCTCCCAGTTCTGGGGTAATACCGTTGTTTCTGGAAGCTTAGAACCTCACAGCCTCATTGCTTCTAGAAGATATCCTTAAAACACAGCACCTAAGCTGTTAATAAGCTTCCCTTCATATACTGAGTCTCAAGTCACAGTGAGAGGTAAGGCGAATACTCACCAGGTGTTGTGGCCCTCTTCTGTTTCTCTTCTGGAGTCAACCCTAACCCTGAAATTCTTTCATTGTATCTTTTTTTGTCATCTTTTATAGTCTTGTAGGCCTGTAGATCCAAAGACGGAAAAATTTATTTCACCATAAAGCTAGCTCATACCATTTATAATACCATTATCTTTCAATTAAATGATAAGCTTTTGTCTATATGAGATTAATTCCTCTATGTTAAAATCACTAAGGCAAAATTATTTTCTTCTTACAAAATAAAAAAATATTGGATGTGCAAATATTGGTGTGAAAAAAATAAGGTAAGCAAATGAAAATGTTCCAGTTTCAGATTTTCTTAGGCTCTATGTAAAGAACTCTCTTCTATTTAATGCTGAAGGTACAGCTAGAGAAAAAGTGGAAGTATTTTATTCTAGGTGAAAAGGCACTAGGAAAGATCAAACAATTATATCAAGCAGAAAGGGGTTTGGGATTATGCTGGACATTAGCTGTGAAATCAATCTATATGGTCCTAGTGCTGGGCAGGAAGCTGGGACACAAGTTTTCCTGATGTTATGGATTGAACTGTATCCCCCCCAAAACATGTGACAGAATCCTAACCCCTATGCCTGCAGGTGTAATCCTGTTTGGAAACAGGGTTTTCTTGGTGTTAATGAGGCCATATCAACATAGGATGTGTCCTAAACCTAATCACTTCTGAGTTATAAGGAACAACACAGAGACAAGGAAGCACAAAAGGGGAAGACAGATGCCAAGTGAAAATTGTCAAGGAACCAAGGAACACTGAGGTTACACAAGCTAGAAGAGACAAGGACCTTCCCCTAGAGCCAGCAGAGAACCTTCCCCTAGAGCTAGTGCCTTGAATTTGGACTACTAGCCTCCTGAATTGTGAGAAAATAAATTTCTGTCTTTAAAGTCACCCACTGTGGTATTTTTGTTACAGAAGCACTAGATAATTAAGACCTTGGAGAACTAACTACAACAAGGTACTCAGATAATGGAAACATGGCCACCTGTATCCTATTCTCACAGAGTAATTCATCTTTCCCTCAATGGTTTATCCTTTTCCTAAACTGATGAGGCAGAAGCCTTATTAAGAAATACTATACACAGATATTTATTAAGGGTCAACATTTTGCTTAAACCTTGTTGTATTTAAAATATATTATCTTCTCTATTCTTTAAAACTAAGCAGGAGCCCTTACCATTATGATTAGTTGTTGTTTTTTTTTTCTTTTAACACACAGCACCACAGTTTACATGTCAAATGAAACTCCAGATTATTCACTGCAGGAGAAAGTCAAAACCATCTGATGAAGTACCACAAAACATGTTCTAAGAATATTTCTATGACCCCCTTACAGAGCAGCCCATTAGACAATGTGCTGCAATAGAACCCTGGACCCTGAAACCTGGTCTTCATGGTGATCAGCATGCAAACATTTAACATGGGAGACGAATGCAGTGGAAAGCTAAGTACTGTATATTAAAAGACACTGATTATTCCTTGAATTTACCATTAAATTTATCAAGTTAATAAACTGAATTCGAGTTACATTAATTTCAGAAAGAAAGTTTTACCTTGGCATAGGATACTATAAGTCCAGTATGCCCTTATACCTAAAAAAAGAGTTTCTTTTAAGAACGAGGTTTTTACCTAAAAAGAGACTTAATCTGATCAACATGAGTGAAGAGAGAAATAAGACGGGGCCATGTTCACATTGAGAGGAATATCTAAAATATAGCCTAAGCCCAGCTCAAACTTCCTAATGGCTTCACAAATGAGTGGAAAAACAGACTAAGAAATATCTTGAGGTTTAGTGGGAAAGGGCAAGAATGAGGTTTGTTTGTGTTTGTGTGTGTGTGTGTGTGTGTGTGTGTACAGAGTTCCTGGGTAGTGCAAACGGTTAACACTTGGTTGCTAACCAACGGTTGGAGGTTGGAGTCCACCCAGAGGTACTTCGGAAGAAAGGCCTGGTGATCTACTTTTGAAAGATCACAGCCTTGAAAACTCTACGGAGCACAGTTCTACTCTGATACACATGGGGTTGCCGTGAGTCAGAATCAACTTAATGGCAACTAGTTTCAATTAGTTATGTGTGTGTGTGTATATATATATATATCAGCTTTTAAGCAAAATGTTCTGATATAAAAATAAGTTTAGAGACATATTAAATCAGAATTTACTTTTCCAAACCCAAGAGTTCCTGTATTCCCAGTCTGCACTGATTTCCAATTAGTGAAATGTCAGGTTAAGAAAACTACAAATTTATGAAAAATGTTGTTGTTGTTGTCAGGTGCCATCGAGTTGTTTCCGACTCATAGTGACTCTATAGGACAGAGCAGAACTGCCCCACAGGGTTTCCAAGGAGCGGCTGGTGGATCCAAACTGCTGACCTTTAGGTTAGCAGCTGAGCTCTTAACCACTACATCACCAGGGCTCCATGAAAAATATTAGAGGAGACAATTTTTCTGAACAGATGAACATGGTGGCGTTTATTCAACTTAAAGGAATTGGAAAGAAACAGGTCATTTTCTGTATGAGGCAATGCAATCCCATCAGCTGAACAATGGCAACCAAACCCATTGCTGCTGAGTCGATTCCAACTCATAGTGACCCTACCGGACAGAGTAGAACTGCCCCATAAGGTTTCCAAGGCTGTGAATCTTTACAGAAGAAGACTGCCACATCTTTGTCCCATGGAGCAGCTGGTGGGTTTGAACTGTCGACCTTTCGATTAGCAGCCTAGCACTTTAACCACTGTGCCACCAGGGCTCCTGAATAATAACAGAAGACTGAGATTAGGGGATCTGCCTAAGGTCCCAGAGAGAGTCACCAACAAAAGAGAAACTCTTACGTCCATGCGAATCAGGAGTTCATATCTGAAATCTAACCAGTAGGAGCACTGTTCAAATCATTGTTTTTCAAACTGTGGGTTGCAACCTGTTAGTGGCCTATGGAATCAATTCAGTAGGCTGTGGTCAGCATTAAAAAAAACAACAACAAAACAGAAGAGAATAGAAAATATTAAAGTATAACCCACATTGTAAGAGTTATTATTTCTTGAATTTTTGTTTTTTATATACTTATATTATGGGTTATAACATAAAATGTATTTCTGACTGTGGATCATGGTAAAAAAAAGAAAAAAGCCACTGATTTAAAGTATGGACCCCAAGTGAACATTTCAGAGCAATTTTCCTGTTCTTAGCATTGCTCCCTTCTTTTTTGGAGGGTGTGGAGGGAAGAAGGTAAAGCACTTCCAATACAGGAATTGCTAAAGTAGTACTTATGCTTAAATTAGGAGCATTTCCTCATATGAGGAAAAAAAGTTATGAAGAAACACTAAACAACTTATAGCCATATCTTAACAAATCTGAACTCTGATTTTAATAGTTCTCCTGAGATGAATACCAATTTCAGAGAAAAAAAATCTAAGCTACTTCAGATCAAGTTTTTTTTTATGACTGAAAACCTAATACAAGGCTGTACCAAACAGTTCGGTTAACAGCTGTTAAGTGGACAAAAGCTTATCATTTAACCTGGAACCACACAGTATAGTAGCTTTATTATTACCAGTGTTGGATAAACACAGAGGGCAAGAAGGCATTTAACTGAATGGCTTGAGAGGAACTTCAGCTTCTTAGATATTTCTAGGGTGAGAGAAAGCAACAGTGACCAGCCCTGTCTTGTGGTCGGGCACTGAGAGAATTTGCCTGGTCAACTCTGTGGAGGCTATCCAACTCTGGTACAGCAACATAAACCAAAGGTTTAAATTGTTATGAACATATCAAACCCAAACTTTAAGTCTATTTTTGAATGAATGGGGTGGAATGGATGGGAGAAATTGCGACAGAGATATGAAATGGAAAAGTTAAGGCTCAGGGGTAGTATCTGAATGATGAATGAGAGGCATTTCAGAAAGCCATCTACATGAATGTGTTAGCTTGTACCATTTCAGCCACTAGTTTGACCAAATTAGAGATTACAAAAGGGACACTGCCAAATGAATTTACTTTGAAATACAGGTTGGGGGTGGGTGGGGAGACTATTGCAATTTATAGACCTCCTCAGAAGCATTCAATAAAATGCCTTTGCACGATAAAACTCAGGTTATTTGAATCTTTCCCACAAAACATGAAAAATCACATTTTACCTAAAATCACTCAGAATGGATGGTGCTCAAGTTTCCTTTAATTGCTTATTCAATGTTTACTATCTGAGACTATCCTGTTAGCTATGCAGCACTAAAGCACAATATAATTTAGCATCATAAAAAATAATCAGGAAATCGGCAAAAGTTTCAAAGGGGCTGATGCTGTGATTTGTTAATAATCATTAAATTTATGGTTTCAGATATATCCCGTGGGACTTAAAACAGTTTGAAGAATGAGATCTGAGGACTCCCTAATGGCTGACAATGTCCCTTTAATAAATGCCTAGTAAGCACATGCTGTGAATATTTTATTGTATTCTAATGGCTCAAGTTTTCATTAGTGCCATGGTCTCACCCACCCTATCCCCAAATATATTTTAGTGTAAGCATCTTACATAATAAACTCCTGCCCCAGTGACTGTTGCTCCTACAATTAAGAAGTACACTAGGCTGCTGCCATCTTTCCCAGAAGCACCTGCAGACGCTAGTGATCTAGAAGGGGATCCTAGGTGATGACACTGCACAACTGTAGGTAGAGACAGGGCCAAGACAAAAACAAAAGGAAACAGAAAAAGCACTAAGTATTAATGAAGAGACATTCAATACAAAGACAGGGAAGCATTTTTGGTGACCCTGTGCTAAAGAAAAAAAAATGCTGCTCCAGGACTGGGGGAGGAAAATGTGTATTTCATCCAAGTATGTCTTCAGACAGATCGTGCCTATTTCTTACTAGGATTTGACTCACAACTGTCAAGAGCTGTCAACCTTTCTTGTGCATTTGGAGGTCAGATCAGGGTATGAGGATATTGGTAACTTAAAATAATTTTCATGGCCCTGTTTTGGTTACCTAGTGATCAAGGAACAAACGTAAGTTCACTGTCTTACTAATGTAGAAAGATCTAAAATTGTCACGGCTTCCAACGGTTAGTTCTTAGTAATTAAAACCAAAAGCTCCCTTCAATCAAGGGTGTTGCTAGGTGTTATCTAAGTTGGTTCACTCGACCTCACATGATCCAACTTTAGACTGATCTGCTTAGTCACAGTAAACCCTGCCAAGTTTAAAAACAAAACAAAACAAAAAAACACACCCACAGACTAATTCCTCTGTGACCAACTAAGCTGATCAGAGTTCATTTAAGTAGCTATAATTGTGCCAATACTACGTAGCAGTTAAACACCGTATTTCTCACCTCATGCAAACTCCACTCGAAAATTATTGGAACACTGGGCCTGCTTCTAGAGTTTAGTCTTAGGGTGAGATTCAGGGATAGTTTTCCTTTTAGGACTATGTAATATTTTGGATTGAAGACTGCTGTTTTTTAATGACTATCTCAAGCTGAGGAAAAATAAAATATTTGACAAAAATGGGTCAAGATCAGATATTGTGCTAAGGAGCTGCAATGAATTCTGATCTTATTCATAGGTTACTGTGTCACATCCAACATACAATTTTGTGTGTTAGTCAAATCTAAGAAAACCACAATGGCTTTCAAGTAAACAGTGAAAAGAGCAGAGATCAATCAATGTGAGATTAAATTTCAGTCATTCCCAAATTGGCTCTCTTAGGATATTAGACAGCAGGCACTTTAAAGAAGGCTTTCTGCAAAGTTTTCCAAAAGGAGCGCAGAGAATTAATTGCAAAAGTTTGAAAGCAGAGTAGTATTGAGTCCACTAATGGGAGCTGTTTGGCAGCAGCTTTCCACAAGCTGCTTTTCTACTTACATATGCACCAGCTCCTATGGTTGATAAGCCCACAATAAGGACTAACACAGAATTATCGATTTTGCCCCCTGATGCACCAGAGCTAGCCATTTGTCTTGTCATCTGGAGTTCTAGGGGAACATGCCATCGCTGGAACAAGTTGCCTAAGGAACACAATTTATTAAGACACACACACATATACAAAAATAGAAGAGTTAATACATATTTATGACTAAACGTCAATGCATAGTACAAGTAAAGACTTTCTGCCCATAGGGCTACGTGGTGTTCACTGTTCAATGACCAAGAAAAAGAGAATCATAACTGAACACACAAATACTACATACTTGAATGGACACGCTTAAGTTGTTGGCATTTTTTTTAAAGTACAATTTAATGCTGTCCAGTAAGAAAATGTACAGCTTCCAGAAAAGACAATGAAAATCATATGGGCAGTTCATTTCTCCCCCTTCACACCTTCACAATAAATGAAGTCAACACAAAGAGATGACTAAGTAGATAGATAAACAAAGTTAACCACAGGCTACCTGGGACACTGCAGCAACCGTATAAGAACTAATCTAAATGGCTCAAACCTTGCATAAAATAAAACACCGTAACACAATCTAACCACGACATAGTTTAGTCTTCTGTGAAAGGTAATGTGTCCTGGAAGACAGAAATGTTAAAACTCAGAAGAATTCAAAGAACTAAAAATTTAAGACTATGAAATATTTCAGAATGACAAAACTTAAAATGCCCACAAAGTATCTGGCTCTTATTCCTCCAAAAAAATTCAAACATTATTTTGATGTAAAACCATGACAACTATGTAACGATCTAATGATCATAATAACTTCTGTACACAGAAATTTAAGAGTTTCATAGATTTCTTTCTTCAGGGGATGCTGACATTTTCAGATGCAGAAAGGTCTTAGCACATTCTC